TGGTACTGCTGGTAAGATAGTACATAATATTAGCAATACTGCTGGTAAGATAGTACATAATATTAGCAATACTGCTGGTAAGATAGTACATAATATTAGCAATACTGCTGGTAAGATAGTACATAATATTAGCAAATACTGTTGATAAACTAGTACACAGTATTAACAGTAGTTTTGTTAAGATAGTATAGAATATGAAAATTTGTTAAGGTTAGCTAAATAACACACAAAATTGATGTTACTACCGACAACCTAACTCACAATATTAATCATACTGTTGGTAGCTAGTGTAGAGTACGACCATTACTGTATGCAATGTAGTACATAGTATGAACAGTACTGTATGCAGTGTAGTACATAGTATGAGCAGTACTTCAACTAAATTTGATAGAAATGAATAAAAACCCTATAACCCGAGAGCTTTCGAAAGGTCCACCTTTCGAATATGCTCGGGTTATAGAGTTTTTTATTCATTTCTATCAAGACTTCTTGAACCTACCTGTTTTTCTAACATCATGACGATAATCTGGTACACAGTAAGAGCAGCAGTTGTGGTAAGCTAATCAACAGTAATGTGAACAATTATGTTGAAAACCTAGTATAGGGTTTCCCAAAGTTTTAGCTTGAATCCTACCAGTATCATAGACACTCTCCTTGAAGACCACCACCTAACGACTTAATATAAACTTTGAATAATCAGAACTTGGAAGTACCTTACTTTCATTATAGTGTTTTTTTTATAAACATTTGCATGCAGAAACAACATTGTATAGTCATATTTTCTGAAAGAAGTAAAATGATTGCTACAAATATTGCTTTGTCCAGTGTCATAGGTGTTTTAAAGTGTGTATTTCTACGTGTGCTCAGGCCCCTGAGATTGTTTCGTTAAGTCCAGTTGTGAAACCACTAAACTAGTAACTATTTTATCAGTACTGGATGTAAGATTCTATTTTCATCTGTATTATGAGATAAAATAATATATGTGTGTGTTTTATAAAAAATATCTCTCTCAGTCAGTCAAGAAATAAAAGGATTTATAGTACTGTTTATCAGTACTAGCTAAAGTTTTATCTTATTTGTAATGTTTATTATTACTAGCTGTTGGTTAGGGCACTCAGGTGCAGGTTTGTATCCCATCACCAAACATGTTTGCCTTTTCAGTTATGGTGGCATTATAAAGTGATGGTTCATCCCTATTTTTATTGGTAAAGAGCCACCCAAGAGTTGACAGTATCTGATGTTGATTAGTTGTCACCCAAGAGTTGGCAGTAGGTGATGTTGACTAGTTGTCAACAAAGAGTTGGCAGTAGGTGATGTTGACTAATTGTCAACAAAGAGTTGGCAGTAGGTGATGTTGACTAATTGTCAACAAAGAGTTGGCAGTAGGTGATGTTGACTAGTCATCCAAGAGTCGGTGGCGAGTGATGTTGATTAGTTGACAGTAGGTTATGTTGACTAGTTGTCACCCAAGAGTTGGCAGTAGGTGATGTTGACTAATTGTCAACAAAGAGTTGGCAGTGGGTGATGTTGACTAGTTGCCACACAAGAATTGGCAGTAGTTGATGTTGACTAATTGTCACCCAAGAGTTGGGGGTAGATGATGTTTTAAAGTTTAGAATTTTCTATGTCATATGATGGCACCTATATTTTTTAAAGACTGCTGTTTGTGGTAAGTCTAATCAGTAATGAAAATTAAATCATATGATTCAGTTTTTTAAATTGAGATTTTTTTAGTAAATTTAGGTAACCTGGGTGCGTTTTTTTTTGCTCTTTTCTTAGTTATTGATTGTTGACAATTTAAATTGTCCATGTTATCTGTACGTTATTACACTTGTGAGTTTTGCCATATCTTTAAATTTTTATATGATACAGGCGGGATAAAAGGAAATGTAATACTTATACAAACGCACACACACACATGCAAATAATAATAAGACAAGGGTTTACTAGAGTAAAACCCATTTCTAACCTCCCAAAAGTGCATGATTTATTGATTATCATCCAAATTGGAGTCAGTATTTTACCTCGCCATCACTTTGGTTTCAAAACTCAAACAATAACTTTAAGATATATATTGTGTGTGACAGTGACAGTGAATAGAGACAGTGAATAAAGAAAAACAAAAAACAGCCGAGGATTTGACCTCGGTATCCTCCAAGCTAGCTACAGCCCTGATCAACATTCACTTTTACCCTCCCACGCCCTTTAACATACGTACTCGGTCACGCCAGGTCCATGTAGAATCAAGTGTTTCTTTTTCTTACTTCAAAGATGCTGGGCAACTAGCGACGTCTGTACAGTAATATTTTAAATTCTTATTATGTGTGTGAAAATTAGTATTAACTGTGCACTGTGAATGTGAAAATATATTACATATAAGCCTAGAGTAATATATTTTTTATTGTGCTAGTCTCTACATAATACTTTCATATAATATTAGTATCATGAACCAGTTTCGTCTCACAATCTTGTCTCTGTTACTTGGACAATTTTATTATTGTTTTAGCCACCACCGACTACCTATATATACTATATATTTTACTATAGCTAGATTTTTTATAACTTGTAGCATGTAATGCAGTTGCTTTGTTGTCTGATTAATGAAATGGTATTTTATTGATTCAAAACAAAATACTTCATTTGTGCTTTATATTCGTATGGCGTTTGAAAGGTAAAGTGGGATAGCGATAGGTTTACGAAACTACAACACTAAATTCCGGGGGTCGATTCCCGTGGTT